TGTACCCCATAGCCTTCTGGGGGTCCCTCATTAGATCCACCCCATAGTCCCCTCTCTATTGAAACAAGTTCAAAGAGTTGTAATTAACATTTGTCACATTTAGAAAAGTTCCCCTTGATCTTGAAGCAGCTTCTGCTCCTCAGCCACCCAAAAAAGGTTGATTGTAACTTGCACAGCTGGATGGGACGGGGGAGCCTGAACACTTGTCAAGTGCGTGGCCACCTGCTGCAGAGTGCATTCATGCAGAGGAGCTTGCAAATCTCATAGGGCTTGAGATTTTTGTTAACCCTTCGTACAGGTGGTGAGGGAGAGCTGGTGGCTAGAAATACAGATTTCACTGTGCTTGATTTCTGGAGCAGCAGATTCCTGGTGGGAGACTCTGGCCCCTCTGTCTCCAGCCAGTATTTTTTATTATTTGACCTGTTGCTGAATCTGGAATCTTGGTTCCCTCTGCTGCCACTCCTCCAATGCACAGAAAGGCCATTCTGCACTACCTGGTATGCTGAGTTATGTAGCACTGCCAAAGGCCGCTCAAGCCGATCTGCTGCCCTAGGCAAAACTTCAGCATGCTGCCCTCTCCTACCCTCTAGGACAGAGGTTCTCAGCTGGAGGCGGGAGGCATGTTAGACTTGTCAGTGGGGGGTGCAGTGAGAAAGTGAGTGAGTCGTTCTGTGACCTGGCACTTGGCCCCCCACTTTATCACTGCACCCCTGGCTCATGGGGTCGCAGTGCCACTCAGCTTTAGCCCAGCCTCTCCTGCCCCTAGGCAGCTGCCTAGTTTGCCTTTAGCTAAGGTAGCCCCATAGCACTTCTCTGTTTAATAATAATGATGCAGACTGTTCCCCCTCCGGGTATTGCAGAGATGGGAGCTTTGGAGAGAGCCCTCTTCTACCCGGGTCACTCCTGACCCTCTGTGAAGCATGGCGCTGTGCCAATGGAGGTGCCATCTTTTATATGAAAAATGAAGCTGCGGCCTTGGCTGTCTGTGCCCACTAAAGATTTCATGGCATTAGTAAAACTAGGAATTTTAATCCCAGAGCCCAGTTTGGGTAATTCTATTCTGCCTCGCTGAATTTACACAGCAGTTCCAGCAGCAGACAACAGTGGTCCCCAAACTGGTGCTGGCTGCTGCTCCTTGTTTCTAGCTGCTAAGTCACACTCTTAAAGGTGAATAATACATGTAACACTTTTCTAATGCAGCTTTCCTACTAAGGCAATCTCTGTAGCTGCCTCAGAGCTGTTAGCTGATCCCTGGTGGGACTGGAGGCGGGGCCGGGTGATGGCGAATGGGTGTCTGTCAATGAAGATATGGCCCTTGCAATTAAAACATTTGAGATCCCTGGCATACAGGGTGGTTCTTCCACTACTTGCTGTGTGCTGTTGCTGTGTGCTGTTAAATGTTACACCTCAGAAGTGGATGCATTTCAGGGAAGAGTGAGTGATCTCTGTCGGGCAAGAGCAGTTTGGGAACTTTCAGGATGAAAGAGGCTGTAGAAACATGTGATGTTATTACTGAGAGACTCTCCTATCCTCTAGCTTGGGACAGGATCAAAAAGTGACTCACACAAGCTACCTACCTTGGTTTTCTCACCTACCTTTTGTCGGAGATGCTGTACCTCCTAGATTTCTTCCCTCCCCTCCCCCCCCCCAACAAAAGGCGCCACACTGAGAATTTTCCTAATATGTTTAATATGTTTATTAAGGTTCACCATGACTCAGTTTCCACACAGGCATTCCTACTAGTCCAAAGGCCACTTGATGTTCATTGCAACCAAAATACAACTATAAGCATATATATACACACCTGTATTCCCTATTCTAGCAACAAAACAGTTTATAAGCATTGGCCAAAATCCAACAGGTTCAGACCTGGGAGACACCTTCCCATCATGATGTGGCTTGAGGCATAAGGAAAAGCTCTGACAAAGAACCCCTAGCAAAACATTATACATTATAACAAACAAGAGATGTCATTGCTGGTTGCTGGACCTTAGCTCAAATCAGATGAAGCAGTTTAGGGCTGCACTCTGCTGTCCTCAGGGTTTTTCCCCTTATCTTACTTTGCCATATTTTTCCCCAACTAACATTTCTAGCCAATGATTTACTACCACAGCTAGGTCCATGCTGACCTGTTAGTTGTGGTTGGCAATGTGTCGTTTTGTTTTAACACAGCATTTCCTAGTGAAGACAAGTCCTGAGGTGAGAAACTTGGAAAAATAATTCTGGGCTTGCAGTGCAGGGAAACAAGTGCTGGGCAAGGCCAGGATTTGAGTAGCTGTGCGCAACCCCACTGCCAGTTAGGGTGACCAGATGTCCCAATTTTATAGGGATAGTCCCAATATGTGGGGCTTTTTCTTATATAGGTACCTGTTACCCCCCACCCCCTGTCCTGATTTTTCACCCTTTCTATCTGGTCACCCTACTGCCAGTGCCTCTGCCCCGTTTCCGACAGTGCCTCCAGGAGCAGGGAAGCAATTAACTCTGTCTCTATGGCTGCTATGAGATCAATCCCAGGCACCTCAGGGCCAGAAAAATATCAGCAAGTTGGGAGGCTGTCAGAGGAGAGCAATGAAAGAGATGGAGGGGCTGGTTTATGAGGAAAGATTACAAGAGCTTGGTATGTTTGGCTTAGCTAAGCAATGACCTAGTGGTGGGTAGTGGCTCACAGGTGTTTGAAGGGTGGAAGCCCCAAAAAGAGCAGGGGATTGCTCAAGGGTTGAAGTCTTTGAAGGTGAATAGCAATAAATATTTCCTAACAGCGAGTTCTGTGAGGCTGTCACGTCATCTCCCAGGGGAAGCGGTGGGAGCCCCATTGCTTGGGACATTGACACCTGGACTGTAGTAAAGCCGAGGAAATATCCCAGAGTGAATAGTCCTATGCCAGCAAGAAGATGGACTGGAGGATCCAACAGGACTTTCGTATCTGTAGTGTCAAAGATTCTGGGTATTGGTAGAGGGGGTGAAAGTGTAATTTATTGGGTTGCCACAAAAGGTCAAACTAAGGAGGTGTGGGAACAAGGTGAGCAGAGCCCTGTCTGCCCCTCTCCTACTATCAGTGTCTCTCTTACTCATAGCAGCTCGGGCGAACGGTTCAGTGCCTCGCTCCTGCACACTGGCCACACTGTGATGGCAGTGACTGATTCCAGCCGCCAGGACTGAGTGGGGAAGGCAGCGAGGGACCTTGGTCAGGTATGAGTAAAAATGAGACGGCATCTGAAAAGCCAAATGACAACAATCGTGTGTAGTCTTATGGAGTGTAGCCCTGCGAAAGGGCTTGGAGCAGATGGGAGCTTCCCTGCAGCCAGCCCCCTGTTCCATTCCCCATGGCACCTCCTGCTGTTAGTGGCTAAGACTGGATAAGTTGTGAGCAGCCCACCAGCAGAACCCTGCCCCATTTCCTACAGCACCGCCTGCTGAGAGAAGTTGGGAATTGTGTAGCTGGGAGCTCTCCCATCCTGTGTTCCTGTGCTGATCCCTACAGCGCCAGCTGCTGGGCAAGTCTGGGACTGCACTAGCTAGGAGCTCACTCTGACAGCTACCTGCCCTACACTCATCTCTGTGGTGCCGCATGCTGAGAGAGGCTGGGGCTCTAATAACTGTGCTCACAGCCAGCTCCACCTGCTGGGGAAGGCCAGGACTGCAGTAGCTGTGAACTCCTGCCCGCTAACGCTCCCCCACTCCCCAACTCCATCCTGCCCCGATGGACTCTGCCCAGGTGTTTTGCAGGGTCTGTGTGGAGGCATAGATGGACAGCATGTACTTGGCTGAGCCTGCGCCCGGGGGTGCCAGCCCCATCTCCCTGGATGTCCTCAGCTTCCTGGACCCACTGGCGAACAGCACAGAGGAGCAGTGCTTCAGCGCCCGCTCCCGGAGCACAGTCCTGCAGGGGCTGCCATTCGGCGGCGTGCCCACCGTGCTCGCCATCAACTTCATCCTCTGGCTGGTGAGTGAGGCGAGGAGGGGGGCATGCCAGGGTGCTCTACCCCCTGTCCCCAGCTCCCAGTGTCTGCCCAGTCTTTCGGCAGTGCCTCAAGTGAGCTGGGGAAGGAAAGAGGTGGGCCTCAGGGGTGGGAGTGACTCAGCGTGACTAGAACCGCACACAGGACTTTGAAGTGTGACACCATATCACCTATTCAGCATGGTCAGATGACACAGTGGTCAGAATGCCTGAGCCCTGTCTCCACCGCAGCTCTTGCTAATGGAGTTGGCCAGGTGGTGAACTATGGGCCCTGATTTCCCTGGTGCCGACGAGGCCATGTGTGTGCAGGTGGAGTCCCCGAGGAGAGACGAATGTCATAATCATGGACATGTGTGTGCATGACGTGAGCCTGCAGCAGGTATCCGATTCTGCCTGTAGGCATCTGGGTGGGTTCCAGTTTGTGTTGTGCCCATGGTGGGTGTACAACTGGGCCTGGGAAGGTGTGGAAGGGTTGTATTGTGTGACTATATGCTGGGCATACAGCTCTGACTACAGGGTGGGAGGTAGTTTCTTTGTGTGTGGCTCTTGTTCTGTGTGTGTGTGTGTGTGAGAGAGAGAGAGAGAGAGAGATGGAGGGGGGGCTTGCTCTGGCTATATGGGTATCTGCCTTTCTATGTGTGTATGGTCACTTCGGTCGTGTGCCTGTGTGTGGGTATATTCACCTTGTGTGGATGGGTGTGGGGGTATAGTACTCTGGACTATGTGGGTCTCCGCTGGGGTGTGTGAGTGCAGTCACTAGGAGCCAGTTGCAGCGGAGTCACTGGAGCAGGACCTCAATTTGGTTTTGAGAGGAGCTTTGACTGGTTCTGCTGTCATGACTGGGCCCACCTGTGGAGGGCAGCCTCTCTGAATGGAGAGGCCTCTAGAAATCAGGTGGCTGGTACATCAACCCTTTGCTTTTTCTCTCCTGCTGCAGCTCCTCCTCCTGGTCTTCTCCTGCCTTCGGAAAGCAGCTTGGGACTATGGGCGCCTGGCCCTGCTGATGGATAATGACAGGTAAGGACTGAGCTCCCTTCCTAGGGGCTGGTAGCGCCTCCCCCTCCCCTCCAAGTGTTTGTGACAGAGCAGGGAGAGGAGGTGCAGTGTCTATTCCCTGCCCTTATTCCAAAACAAGCCCAGCAGAGTCAATGTCAGGGCTGTTGGACGGTGCCAGACTGGCAGCTGTGGGGGCTGAGCATCTCAGTTCATCCCCACGGAGAGGCACAGCATGGGTGGCAGCAGGGCAAGCTTCTATCACAGGCTCCCTCATCCCTGCCCTGGAGGAACACTGGCTAGGGATGGGAGGGCAGTTCAGCCTCCATGGTCCAGTCAGCCTCTCCTCTGAGCCTTTCAAGACGGAGGCCAGTTAGTGGCCGTTGTGCTGCTGGGTTTTATAATGTGGACACATTTCAGGGGGGAAATGCTGCTTCTGGTAAGCTCTGGAGCTCTCTCCTGTCTCCATGCTGCAGGCGGATTGAAGGCAAGTTCAGTTCTGTAGCAGAAAGTGGCAGGGCTGTCTGTGTGCTGGCTGGGCCAGGTTCTCTAGAGTGACACTGGCGGGTGTATCAGAGTCAGCGCCAGGGCTGCGTTAGCTTTCACTTGTAGGTTCAAAGCTAAGAAACATGTTCCTTCCTTTTTTCTTTCTTGGAAAACCAGGAAGAAATAGGGAACATTGCACCAAAAGGTTAAATAACAACCCGCTCACGAGTCCGTTAGCATGTGCAGCAATTATTGAGCTAACACACCAGCCACTAACGGTGAGGGGACCCCATCCTCCACCTCCCTCTCAGCAGTTGCACCATCCCTTGGCAAAAGGTCCTACCCAGGGATGTCAAGGACCTAAGGACCTGATCTGATGCCTGCTGAACGCTGTCGCAGAACAGCTACTGATGGAAATGGGAGAAGGATCTATCGTCAGCAAAGGGGTCCTTGAGGGTTATGGAACTAGCTAAATGCGGGCATGTGGCTTAATGCTCTGGCCTTCTGGCAAAGAGGGCGCGAGTGTCAGAGGGGCGCAGAGCATGTATCTGAATGAAATCTGTGTACTATGATATGACCAGCCGGGGAGTTTGTAGGTGTGGGTTTGGGAGATGGGTTGCTCGGGATGAGAGGATGGAAGGGTGTGGGGGTGAAGGTTGTTTAGAAATAGAGCTGGAGGTGTGGGTGGTAGGTGATGATTGGGGAGGTTCATGGCATCTGGCATCTTGTTGTCATTATCTTACTCATAGTCTGAGGTGGAGTTGAGTGGGGATGAGCGTTTGTGGGGAATGCAGGCGCAATGGGCTGCAGGCTGGCGGGTGATAAAACTGAGGGTACATCTACACTACAGCGGGGAGTCGGTTTAAGATACGCAAATTCAGCAACGTGAATAGCGTAGCTGAATTTGACGTATTACCGCCGACTTCCCCCGTTGTGAAGACGGCGGCAAAATCGACTTCTGCCGCTTTTTGTCGGCGGCGCTTACTACCACCTCCGCTGGTGGAGTTAGAGCGCCGATTCGGGGATCGATTGTCACGTCCCCACGGGACGCGATAAATCGATTCCCGAGAGGTCGATTTCTACCCGCCGATTCAGGCGGGTAGTATAGACCAGGCCTCAGAGGATAAGCAGGGAATGATATAGTCTCCTGGATGGTTACTGATACGTCTAATTGTCTCCTCTCCCCCACTTCTGAACCAGCCGAATCCCTCCAAGCACATGGAATTCCTACGAGTAATGATAATGGTGATCTGGTGAATGTGGTTTTGGTAACAAGAAAAATGCCTTCCTGGGAAAGAAAGAGAAACAGCAGCTGCTTTCCCACAGGGGTTGGAGCCAGATCTCCCACCAAAGGGGCAGGAGACTGCCTCAGCACAAAGTGTGGTCTGGCAGCAGGAGGGGAGAGAGTGCTACGTGTTTCTGGTACAGCACTGAGGTTCTCCTGGTGCTCTAGTCCAGTTGGGTGGAGGAGGACATCAGCATTCTCCTGGCCTGCAGATTTCCAGGGGTTTAGAACCCAGCTGGGCCTTAGGACAGGACTCAGGAGAACAATGTGATCAACACAATAAAAAAAAATCAGACCCTATATTTGTTATTGATTAAAAGAATGTTGGGATTCTGAGAGATGTTGTTCCCCATTTACAAGTCCAAACCTGCATTGATTGGCAGCATGAAACCAGACCAAAATATCAGGCATCCTCCCGACAGGTGCCATGTTCCTCAGCACCTCACAGCAATCCTGCTCCCCACCCCTGCAGCAGTTCCTCTTTCTTTCCCATGGCTGTTATTTCTGGAGGGGGTAGGGAAGGGTGTCTCTGAGAGGTATGGGGCTGGCTCTAGGGAATTCTTTCCAGAATCCTCTTCTGAGCCTCGGTTTTCTTTGATTTTTCTCAAGCGCTGGCTTTGGTTCTAAATCTGGAAATGTGTCAGTGATGTTTTCACTTGTTGGAGAGATTAAAGGGACAGTCAAGATTTAAAACAGCAGACATCATTAAAAATATGGTACTAGAATGTCACGTGGCATGTTTAAAACTGACAGAACTGTAAAAATCCAAGTCACTTTTCCCCAGTGATCCCCTATTTGCTTTACTCCCTGAATTTCACTCCTCCTGGGCAGTGACTTTAGCCTGGTCACTTTCACTTCCTCATTCTTGACACTTTCCCTTGCAAGTCGCCAGGCACTAGCCCAAGGCTGCTGGGTTTGTGGCTTCCCAAACTGCCAGGAAGGCTTTAAAGCTAAACAAAAATGTGTTTCCATTCAGTTAATGGAAACCTTGCTGTTAATAAGGATCCCGACATTTACCTCATTTGTAAAGTGCTTTGAAATATACTGATGAAAAGCACTAAGAGCTAGGTATTACTGTATTATTGTAATTTTATTATTAAGTTTTGAAAAACATTTTTCTCACACAATCTAAATTCCAGCACAAATGACTTGACACTGTCCCTTTAAGAGTTTCTCGCTCCCCAAGTTCTTCCTCTTCTACCAGAATAGTGCAAGTGATGTCATGGTGGTGAATCAGTGATGTTGCAGTCACTGCCATAATGATGTCACAAACATGCAGTTATGACCTTGCTGGAACAAAGAGGGGGAACTCTTCTTTAACCAAAGTATCTGCGATAACAGAAAAGAAGCGGGGAAACAACCAGACAATGGAGCCTCATGCGCTAGTGGGATCTTGTTTTTACTTTGATCTGGTGGGATATTCTCTCTTCATTACTTCCAGGGAGTCACAAATGTAAACCAAAGGGGATTTTCCTGGAAAGGAGCCAGTACAGGGAGAAGTGTTGAATAGTTAATATCTTCCCCACACTGCCCCTGGTTCTGAGGAGTTTCCTTTAACTTGTCCTGAAGGTAGTGACCTCACATGGGTTTTGTGAAGTGTGAGCAGTGTTTGTGAACCATAAAGAGAACCTTGAACAAATGGAGCTAGAGGACAGAGTGTTATTATATCATAATAAATCCATGGCCATTCAGAACTTAACAGCATGAGCAAGGAGAGAACTGGGATGCTCCCACTCCAAAAGCATAGAGCCCTAGCACTTCAGCTAGTAAAAGTAAATTAATGGAGATATCCTATCTCTTAGAACTGGAAGGGACCTTGAAAGGTCATCAAGTCCAGCCCCCTGCCTTCATTAGCAGGACCAAGTACTGATTTCGCCCCAGATCCCTAACTGGCCCCCTCAAGGACTGAACTCACAACGCTGGGTTTAGCAGGCCAATGCTCAAACCACTGAGCTAGCCCTCCCCCCACAGCTAATGGTGACACTCCATTAGCTGCTAGCACCATAGGGACTATGACCCACAGTGAAATAGGTCTGATTCTGCTGTGCAGAGGGCAGTGACTGCATGCATAGACAGACACACATACACCAATTCGTTACAATATTATCATTGACTGACTTGGTGTCTCATTTCTCCTGTATGCAATGTGCATCAATACAGTTCAATATGTCCTAGACAATGGCTGTGTGTGTGTAACCACTGTTCCCATGAAACTGAATCTGTGCCATTCGCAGGGGCGGTGCAGTTATTTTCTGGGGGAACTGTTGGGAGTGGCAGGTTCTTGGTGTGCAGTTGCTGCATGTATAGAATCCTTTTGCCACCTGCTGATTCACCATCTTAACAAACTGTCTGATGAGAGCTGACTCCATGCAGCTATTGAGCTGAAAAATCCCTCCCAGCTGCTGGGCTAGAAATGTACAAGTGCTGTCCTGGGTTGGCTGATTTCTCAGAAAAGGGTTGCTTGCTATGAGGGGAAATGTCACTTGGAAGTGGGTCTGATCAGAATCTTGGGTTTTTTCCCTGTCCTTCTTGCTCCCTCTCTTGTGCTTCTCTCTCATTCCCTCTCTTCTTTCTCTCCCCTTCTCTCCATCCTGTGCCCCCTTTATTGCCCTCTCTCTCCTCCTCCCTCTGCCCGAAAGCTTGACGTCACTGTTCTACGGGGAGCAGAGTGAGAAGGAGAAATCACCATCGGAGACCAGCCCGCCGGATGTCGATAACAAAGATGTGGTGAGTCTCAGTGGGATGTCGGAGGGAAATTTGCTCCATCCTGTGCAAAGAGGAGCTCTGTCTACTACAGGGAGCCTAGGTTTAAAATTAGATTAGGTCACCAGTCTGAAGTTTCCTGTTTAATATGAACCAATGGTGGAGCCAGGAGCCAGGAGCTGCTCTTTATTTTCCTGGGAAGCGGCATTTTTCTTATAGTGAGTGTCAATGCTTGGGAAATCTTCCCCCCCCCCCATTGCTCTAGCACCAGGGGAGCTGTTGTTGGTGTCAGCAGTGGGAGTGCTAGAGTAGACAGCACAATGGTGCTTTTGTCATTGTGTTTTCTAGATCCATTCCCAACAGGGTTAGACCACACGGTGGTAGCAATTCCTGAGTACTGTCTATGTCAGTACTTCCTGTGACGGGTTGGGTCACAGAAACCCCCTGGGGGCTGCCAACTAATGTGCCAAGACTACTTCTGCCCCTGCTTTCCCTGCCAGCTTGGGACTCCAGCATCCTGTCTTGTTGAGCCAGACACACCAGTCTGCTCCAACACAGACCCAGGGTCTGAACCACGTGCCCCAAAGCTGAAGACTTAACTGAAAGCAACTTAAGAAATGTTCCTGTCTTCAACACTCAGATGCCCAACTCCCAATGGGGTTTAAACCCCAAATAAATCCGTTTTACCCTGTATAAAGCTTATACAGGGTAAACTCATAAATTGTTCGCCCTCTATAACACTGATAGAGAGATATGCACAGCTGTTTGGCCCCCCCCCCCAGGTATTAATACATACTCTGGGTTCATTAATAAGTAAAAAGTGATTTTATTAAATACAGAAAGTAGGATTTAAGTGGTTCCAAGTAGTAATAGACAGAACAAAGTGAATTACCAAGTAAAATAAAATAAAACACGCAAGTCTGAGCCTAATACAATAAGAAAACTGAGTACAGATAAAAACCTCACCTTTAGAGGAATTCCAGTAAGCTTCCTTTTACAGACTAGTCTCCTTCTAGTCTGGGTCCAGCAATCACTCACACCCCCTGTAGTTACTGTCCTTTGTTTCAGTTTCTTTCAGGTATCCTTGGGGGTGGAGAGGCTCTCTCTTTAGCCAGCTGAAGACAAAATGGAGGGGTCTCCCAGGGGTTTAAGTAGACTTTCTCTTGTGGGTGGAGACCGCCTCCTCTCTCCTATGCAAAGTCCAGCTCCAAGATGGAGTTTTGGAGTCACATGGGCAAGTCACATGTCCATGTATGACTCAGTTTTTACAGACAGCAGCCATTGTTTACATGCTACCCTGAACGTCCTCAGGTAAACTTCTTATGTGGATTGGAGCTTTCCAAGTTTCAGAGTAGCAGCCGTGTTAGTCTGTATCCGCAAAAAGAACAGGAGTACTTGTGGCACCCAAGATTCATTGTCCTTTAAGTGTTTCTTGATTGGGCACTTAATTTGCGCATTCCTTTCTCAAGAAGCTGACCAAATGGTTTACTAAGGCTACTTAGGAATCAAGCAAGTACACAGCCAATATTCATAACTTCAAATACAACAATGACATATGCATACAAATAGGATGATAGATTCAGTAGATCATAACCTTTACAGAGATATGTTACATGGCATATGTAGCATAAAACATATTCCAGTTATGACATATATATACATTAATAAGCATATTTCCATGAAGCCGTATGGGGTGCACCGTCACACTCCCTCCATGGAAGATTTTCCTAAATTTCCCAGGGTAGATGCAGCCTGTCTCTCTCTCTCATTCCCTCTCCTCCATCTCTCCATTGCCCTGCTCTCGCTCTCTCAGCATGTTTGTCATACAGAAAAATTTAAGCTCTGGCTAACAAAGTGTGAGCAGTGTTTGTGAACCATAAAGAGAACCTTGAACAAATGGAGCTAGAGGACAGAGTGTTATTATATCATAATAAATCCATGGCCATTCAGAACTTAACAGCATGAGCAAGGAGAGAACTGGGATGCTCCCACTCCAAAAGCATAGAGCCCTAGCACTTCAGCTAGTAAAAGTAAATTAATGGAGATATCCTATCTCCTAGAGCTGGAAGGGACCTTGAAAGGTCATCAAGTCCAGCCCCCTGCCTTCATTAGCAGGACCAAGTACTGATTTCGCCCCAGATCCCTAACTGGCCCCCTCAAGGACTGAACTCACAACGCTGGGTTTAGCAGGCCAATGCTCAAACCACTGAGCTATCCCTCCCCCCACAGCTAATGGTGACACTCCATTAGCTGCTAGCTTTGGCCATGGCTGTGGTGACATTCCTGGCATCACCTCTTCTCCACAGCAGGTCCTGGCCATTTACCATGAATTCTCCTGTTTCTGTCAGTTTCCCTCTGACTAGTGACCCTGTTCACTTGTCATTGGGAGGGGAGGGGGCATGTACATTTCAGGAGTCGCTGTGTGAAGGGCTCTTTCCTCCATGGGGTCAAGTCAAATGAAATCCCATGGGAGTGGCCTGTATCCTGCGGAGGGAGAATTGCCCCAGGGAGGTAAGCTCCTCTCCTTGTGCAGTGCTGGGAAGGGGACTTCTGTGCTGTCGAAGGGCCTGTCCTTCAGAGGAGCCCTGAAGCTGAGGACTGCCATGCCAGCTGGTGGAAAGGAAAGCTGCTTGAGTCTGTCCTTGGATTCTGCAGGATTCAGGCCCCTGTCATCCCGACCTACCGTACTTCTCAAACCCGCTCTCGGATCTCTGCAGTGATGGGGCTTCCCCCTCCTAGCCTCTGCCCTGCCTGCTCTTGCTGTGAAGACAAATTCCCTAATCTCCAGTTTAGACTTTTCCTTCCATCACTTCAGGGCCATCCCTCCTTGTCTTGCCATCTCCTGAGAGCGTTAATAATTCCCTTCATTCACTTGTACTGTCACCCTGACGGCTTCTGTAGGCTGTGATCATGTCCCCCGAGAGTCATCTTTTTTCTAGGCAGTGCTATCCAGGTTCACTCATGCCCATGGATTTCCCCCAGACGGAATGTGGCCTGGTGCATTTATTTGTTGGCTCCTCTCTGCGCTCCTCAAACGTCTTCTCCAGTCCGTCTGCTGGCTGCTACCTGGACGCTAAAGGTCCCGTGGCATTTTCAGAAAAACAGAGGTGATCACCTCCGTGTTCTGTCCTCGTTGACACTAGTTGTGCTGTCAGAGCTGGTCACTGAGTGCAGAGCAGCAGCTTTGTTAGTTTAGCAATAGTTGCCATGCGGCCAGCCCCCAAATGCCCCACTTGGCCACAGTCACGACACTGGTACCTTGGTCCCCAGTTCCCCACAATGTTAAGCACTCTGAGGCCACACTCCATTTCTGGTACCTTGGTTTGCTGTCAACCAGCTGATCCTGTTTATCTTCCCTTCCAGGGATTCTGCTCCTGGCTCATTTCCATCTACCAAATGAAGTAAGTACATGTCCTTTCCTGTCTGCATTGGATGGCAGCTACCTGGCCTCTCTCTGCCTTTCCGTGTATCCAAGACACCACCTGGGTACCACCCATCACCAGTGAATATCCCAGTGCTGCTGTATCTGCTTTGCATCCCTTGATCAGAAAGCACCTCCCCTGGAGGGGGAGGGGAATATGGGCTTTTTGTTCATTACACCCTGCTGTCCCTTGTGTGCTGTCCCATCTCCACTCTGCCCTGGTTCTGGTGAGTGCTCCCCTCCCATCTTGAGGGGCATTCAGGAGGCCCACAACATATCTGAAGTTCAGAAAAAGTTTGACAGACTTCTCCCCTCCCACCCTCGTTTTTGTGGTGCCCTTGGTTCTGATCAGGTCCAGAAGAGAGAAGGACTGCCCGAAAAGTCTGTTCTCATTTCCAGTGGGTGTCAGAAAGGGCTGGAATTCTCCTGAGAGAGACCAGACCCAGGGGATTTCCACCTCCCATTTAGCAGAGTTGGCTAGTTCAGGAAAGCGTCCAGATTTGTTGGTGGTTCAGTGGCTGGACTCTACAAATGCTGGGAGATCACCATTCCTTCTTGTGTCCATCCAGGGATCCAGTCCATGGAATGTCAGGGACAACCTATTGTGGGAGTTAGAGATGGGGACGTCCGGTTAGGTGCCTCCAGGGGCTAGTGCAGGATTGTTCCTTTCAGTGTATGTTCCAGGACTTTGTCCAAGCCCAGGTTAAATGTCCCAAATGATGGGGCTCCCTCCCAGCCCTTCCCTTGGGGACCAGTCTGCAACCCTCTAGATGTCCCAGATGTCCCATTCCACAGGTGCCAAAATGCCATCCTCCAGGGAGAGACTCGGAGCACTCCCCTCCTGAATCCCGTATGTGCTCTCAGGAGGGATGGCCTGAGTTTGAGCCCTACAGTATTTGGGGCTGGTGCTTTCCACTGGAGAGTGGGGGGGGGTGTGCCCCCTGAGCGGGGAGGGGCGATCTCACATCACCTGCACTAACACACCATCCGCCTCTGTGTCGGTAAGGGATGAGGAGCTCCAGAGCAAGTGTGGAATCGACGCCACCACCTACCTCTCTTTCCAGCGCCACATCCTGGTGCTGGTCATGATCGTCTGTGTGCTCTCTGTGGCCGTCATTCTGCCTGTCAACTTCTCTGGGGACCTCTTGGGTAGGTAATTCTCCAAGCCCACTGGGTGATCCCAGTGGCAGAGCACAGATCCCCACAGCACATGGGTGGGCATCATGCACCAAGCGGGATGGGGGAATAATGATGCTGTCAGTTAGCCGGGAAGATGGAATTCTGAATAAGGTGTGGTGCCTGGAAGATTGGTCCAGTGCAAGGGGTCATGCCTGGGAGATTGGCCTCAAGGGGTGTGGGTTGGTGGCCAGCTGTGGGGTAAAGGAAATGGGAGAGACCAGAGAAGCTTTGGGGCTTGCAGGAGGAGGCCAGGAGAAACCCCAGGGAAGCAGCAGAGAGGAAGGAGCCAGGAGGGGACCCAGGCATCTTGTCATAGGGGAGCTGTTTGTAGTCTGGGCCTGAACCTCTTGAGATGCGCGGCGCTCCCATAACCTCCATGCTTCCCCTCTTCTCTTCCAGGAAACAGTCCAGCTCACTTTGGCCGGACGACCATCACCAATGTCCCAACACAGTACGTTCCCCCCACACCTTGCAGCTGCACTCTCTGCCGCTTGTGGGGATGGCTGCCAGGGGCACAGGGTTAGGCCATCAGCAATGTGGGGACTGGCCCCTGGGACCAGGGACAGGGTTTACTTTTACATGGTTCATAAAGATCTGCAAAGACGTGTGAGCACCTGATGGCCAGACGTGGGCAGCTGTACAAGAAGAGATGGGAGCCAGCACTCCTACGCCGTGCACTATAGCACCTCCTGCTGGAACTGCCGTAGCTTGGAGCTAGCACCTCCCCAGCCAGCACTCCTACACCATTCAGTACAGCACCTCCTGCTGGGATGGGTTTGGTCAGCTTGAGTTTACAAGTTCTCCTGCCTCATTCCTCCAGCAGCTCAGCTAGTGCTCCTGCAGCATTCCCTCTGGTGTTCCCTATTGGAAGAAACTAGGCCTGCAATAACTGAACTCCCAGCAGCTCGCCCTCCTGCACCCATTCCTTACAGCACCTTGTGCTGGAAGAGGCTGGGACTGCAGTAGCTATGAGCCAGGATGCTATGTGCTTTTGGTTTGCACCGTGATGGGCCGATAGCTTGCTCTCCAGGTGGAGGGGAGGACGGGACTGCAGTGGGTTTGACTGATCTCCAATAGGGGTGCTGCTTTGTTAAGTTGCAGATCTGTTCCTTTTTCTTGCACAGAGACCGTCTCCTATGGCTGCACAGTATCTTCGCTCTCATCTATTTCATTATCACCATCCTCTGTATGGCTCATCACTCTGTCCAGCTCGAATACAAGGAGGATGAGAAGGTAAGCTGCCCCTAGTCCTCTTCTGCCCCTCCCAACCCAAGGGGAGACCCTGCACAATTTTGCTTGTCCTTTGCCATCTGTGCTTTTGACGGAACCACAGTTAGAATACACTAGATCTTTACAAATGGCCTGGAGTTGGGTTAATTGGGAAAGAGAAGGTTGGTTTCTGCCAAATTTCTCCCATTCTCCTTAAAATGAAAGAAACCCTCAGCTTATGCACCATTTCTGCCCCCATCAAGTTGAAACTTGTTTGTGTTGCTATCGAGGGACTGAGCTCAACGCATGTCCAAGCAGTGTAAGAGGTGGTAGTGTCTAGTGGTTACAGCAGGGGCCTAGGGGTCAGAGGCTATTCCCAGCACTGAGAGGGTGTGTGCTTGAGTAATTAGAGCCTGGAACTAGAAGTCAGGACTCCTGGTTCTGTTCCCACCTCTTGGAGGGATTGTAGTGAACTGGCTGGGGACTGGGAATCAGGACTCCCGAATCCCAGCGTTGCCACCAATTCACAGGATGATCTTGTACAAGTCTCTGTGCATCAGTTTTCTCCATCTGTGCAATGGAAGAAATGATACTGACCTTCCTTCCAGGGAGAATGTGAGGTGCTGCAGAGCCGGGGGTGTTGTGAATGCAAGACAAAGCATGGTTCTGCTCCCCGATGCCTCTGTCTCAGCTCCTCTTCTCCTCTCCCAGGTCGCACGGACACTGATGGTCACCCGGATTCCCAAGGAGATCACAGACTCCTCCCTTGTCATCAAGCATTTTCAGTGAGTAGAACCGCAGGTAGCTGCTTGATCTGTGCCCATCTCTATGAGCTTCCCTGCCCCTAGTTCTGTTGATTCTTGGTAACTCACTGGAGGGAGATAGGTCGGGATGCCCTTGGTCTGGGTGAGGGGTGAAAACATTAGAGGAACATCAGTGTGGAAAGCAGGTGATGTTGCCGGCAGCCAAAGGTCTCGGGTAATGAAGAAGGTGGTTCTGCCCCCTGCTGGCTGCCATGGCAAAGGCAGGTACAGAAAATGCAGCCATCCTCCCTCTTCTCCATCCAACGTTGCCCAGGAAGACTCACCTCCTGGGGTGGTAAGTGCCTGGGGCCAGGAGGTGAGTCTTCAGGAGGAGAGCTGGGATTGCTGGGATTGCCCCTCAGCAATCCCAGCTCTCTCGTCCTTGTGGAGGTGGGGATGAGGAGCCAGTGGGGCTGGGAGAAGCGTGTCTTTTCAGTCTCCTGGGGAGGAGGGTCTCAAATATCTGTCTGTGTATGTGCCCCGCAGCGAGGCCTATCCCAGCTGTACTGTCACCAATGTCCAGTTCTGCTTTGATGTTCGCAAGCTGATGAAGCTGGATGGAGAGAGGTGAGTCTGCGCTGGGGCCCTGGGGCCTTGAACTCCTTAGGAGTCCCATGGAGCTATCCCATGGTGCCTGCACATCACCCTCGGATGGGCTCAAGAGTCTGCATGCACACTGCCTCTGCAGGCTCTCCGGAGGCGTCATCCTGCCTGGATCTACTTTACCCTGTAAAAGAACAGTCCTGTAAGCCGGGGGAGCATACCCACATTGTCCACATGGCCTCAGGAGTCCCAGGTGATGGCAGGGGAAAATCTCATACCTTGGCCTCCCTTAGCATTTGTGGCTTCTTTATTTGAGGTTCCTGGTGGCCTTGCCTGTCAGGCAGGCTGTGCCTGGGGTACCTGAAGTCTCTCTAGTGCTAGTGAGCACTGTCCCCTCCTAGTGTTAGCATGGCGCCAGGCTCCCATGCCAGGAGGAGCGTGCCCAGCAGGATGGGCATATCAGGCTTCCCCCTCTGTCCCTGTCCACATTGGTACGTCTGGGGTATTCCTGGCCTGGTGTGCTGTAGGGGGCATGTTATGGAAGACACAGGGAGCATCTGGGTGTATATGGAAAAAAGGCTCCTTTCCAACAAATTAGGGGAGCTCTCTTTTCTGGGAGGCCTCATGAAGTGTCTTCTCTGATCCCATTCCTGGCAGGCGCAAGGCGATGAAGGGACGACTTTACTTCACTACCAAGGCACAGAAAGAGGGGAAAATCATGATCAAAACTCATCCCTGCGCCCGCATCTTCTGCTGCCGCAGCTGCAACTTTGAACAGGTAAGAGATCAGAGGGGTGCGGGGTGGGGCTGGATAACACTCGCCCCTAGCAACCCCCAGGCACCTGATCGGAGATTCTGTTACAGCTTCCCCTCCCGCACTGCTCTGCTTCTGTGACAGCCACTAAATGGTGCTGCTCTCCAGTCTCCTTCCCACCATACATACTGGGGGATGGAGGCTCAGGAGAATGAGCTCCAGCATCTCACACTGGCTGAGATGGGCCAGGGGAACCTTCAGGGCCAGAGGGAGGTTTCCACAGATCAACAAACAGCCCCGAATCAGGCACCCACGCTGGCTCACCGGAACCTGAATTGTGTATGTAGGAAACACTCACCTGCTACTGCCCGCTAGAGGCACAAACTGTCACTTGCAGCTGTTGTTCCAACCCAGACAGCTGTCTCCTTGACACAGATCTTAGTGTTGTTCTTTTGCAAGCAGCGTGTCTGCCTGGAGAGACTGGAATGACGTACAGTCACTCTCACTTTCACACCCATCCCTGGGCACCTCCCCACCACAGCTGACTCACTGCAACTGTGCATCCTGGGTTAGCATTTGTCAGCTGTTGAACACTACTTCTTAATATCTCTTCCGCCAGTACACAAAGGCCACGATTAGTATCGGGGTCCTGTTGTGCTAGGTGCTGTATGTGCCCACAGAAAAACATAGGCTCTCACACTCAAAGGCCCCGATCCTGCAAGTTGCTCCTCACTGGCAGACCCCTGTGTGCACCAGCACAGACCCCGCCCACACAGAGCAGCTCCATTTAGGATGGGGGCCTAAGAAGACAGGGAACACCTGAAGGGTGTTGGGAGAGGGATACAACCGGATAGAGTCAGGTTTAAAATCCATAGGTGCACTTTCACCTGACAGTTACACAGTGTAAGGGCCAGCTCTCCCTCTGTGCCCCTTGTGTCATTCACAGGCTGATGTCTCGTAGGCACCCAGCTCCTCTCATTCCCACTGGTAGCTTGCTCCATGACTGCCCCCCAACAGCCAGTCCAGGTGTTGATGTGACAGCCCCCAGATTTCATCCCCAGTGGTCTGCTGGGATGTCGGTCCCCGTCTCTCTGGGAGGAGAGCTCCTTTAAAGGGATCTTTCCTCTCCCCTGCAGGTGGATGCTGAGCAGTACTATGGGGAGCTGGAGGAGAAACTGACCGATGAGTTCAATGCTGAGCGCAACCGCATCTCACTCAAGCGTCTTGACATAGCCTTCGTCACTTTCCAGGATGAGAGGATGACAGCAGTGTGAGTGCTGGCCTCAGCGAGAGCCGGGCCGAGGCCCTGCTAGCTAGAACGGCCCTCTGGGCAGCTTACACATTACCCCCTCCCCATGGGAAATCAACCTGAAATTCACACAGCTCTGGGGTGTAAATATAAAAATAACAAGCAACTTTGGCTTCTCTAGCACTTTCCCCTGCTGGGTTTGGGATCAGGAATGGTTAGTCCGTTCCTGCTTCAGAGCCAACAGGGGTACCCATCCCAGCTCTGGGGTGGGATTGTCAGTGGCCCTGGTGTTTTGAGGCTATCAAGGGGCGCTCCGAGTATTTCCCTGGTTCCATGTGGACTCTGATTTTCAGTAAGCTAAACCCAAATGGTTGTTTAGTCTCAGCTGGACTCTGTCCATCATATCAGCAGAGTATGATCTGAGTATGGCAGAGGGCCACAACCTGTGATTGTGGGAAGAATGTTTAGGGTGGCAGAGATCCTGAACCCCTTCTCCCTCCCACCCGCCTCCCCAGCTCTTCTCATATATGGGAGTAGGAATCTGTCCCATGAGCCAAGGTCTTCTCTTCCTCCTCTCTCCTGTAGGATTTTGAAGGATTACAGCCGCATCCACTGCCGCAGGCACCCACAGCAATCCTCCGTCACCACGGTGGTAAAGTCCTACAGCTGGGGTGTCCGCTATGCCCCTGCCCCCAGTGACATCATCTGGTAAATCCCCACACAGCTGGATGGAGGGGGCACCAGGGCACGAGGTGGATCCAAGGCTTTAATTCTCCCAGACCTTTGGGAGTGCTAAGGGCTGAGAATCTGCCTCTGCAGGCCTTGAGCAGTGACACCAATGCAGCGAGGTTGCAAGTCTCAGCTAGGCCAGGCAAGGGAGGGGAAAATGAAGTCTCCCGGGCTTTCTCTGGCATTGGTGAATCCAGAGCCCATTGCAGGGGGCACAGAGATTCCATTGTGCTGGTTCTCCTGGTCCCTGGCGATGACCCCAGTTCCAGGTGGGACAGTGCAGGGGACAGTTGTGTTGAGATGGGGTGGGATGGGGACTAATAGCAGGAAACCCAAAAGCAGAAGCCCTAGAATAATCAGAAAGGATGGGGTCTATGTGGGGGGGAAGGTATAGGGCAGAGCGAGCATGGGAGCCAGTGGGTCAGGCTGCTGAAGTGGGGAGAGCCCCTTCCCAACCGGGTACCAGGAGGGATACCTCAGCCACCCACACTGTTGTGCCTTTCCCTGTGCTCCACCTGCTGGATACTCTGTTCTCTTGTAGGGAGAATTTATCTGTCCGTGGCACGTCATGGTGGGTGCGATTTGTCCTCCTCAATTTCTGCCTCTTCATCCTCCTCTTCTTCCTCACCACACCTGCCATCATCGTCAACACCATAGACATGTTCAACGTGACGCGGCCGGTGGAGAGCCTCAAGGTAGCCAATTCCTGCGGGGCTCTGCCTGCTGGACTCAGGGACCCACCTAGGGGGTACCCATCTCCGAGGTTGCCTGAGGAGGGGAGGGTGTGGGCTGTCTCTGTGTCCCCCAAGGAGAGCAGGGCATGCCTCTTCTCTGCACTCTCCATGAGTGGGATGGGTGTCTTCTTGGCAGGGAGAAAGGGAGAGCCCACATGGTGGGCAGCCACGTGTCCCTGATGGAGGCATCCTCGGGTCCTGTCTCTCTGTGAGGTTGTGTGTGTGTCCCTCCACCCCAGGCAGTGACCCCATACCCTGGGAGGGGCACACACAACTTCACACATAGGGAGCCCATGTGGCAGGGCAGCTTTGTGAGTGTGCCGAAGCAAAGGAGGTGGGGTGGGACCATTACAGACTGCACCAAGTGCTGGTCTGCTCCAGAGCTGCCATTAATCCAGCCCCTTCCTCCGCAGTAACCTGTGAGCTGTAGCTAGGGGCCTGGGTGCTTGCTCTGTCCCAGTAAAGCCTTCTGTCCTCAGCCTCGCCGCCCCTCCAGCGGTGGAGCGAGCCTCCCAGAGGCCGTGCCACCAGCCAGGCAGGGTCCTGAGCTTGTTTCCGGTCTCTCCCCTGCCCAGAATCCCGTCCTCACCCAGTTCTTCCCCACGCTGCTGCTCTGGGCCTTCTCTGTGTTCCTGCCCTTCGTCGTCTACTATTCCGCCTTCTTTGAGTCACACTGGACCAGGTAACTCACGGCCTTTACACTCTGACCTTTCACCCTGGGGCCTGCCTGCCCCCTCGGAGTCACTCGGGATCTGGATTTGAATGAAAACCCCAGTAGGTACCATTTAGTCCATCTGCAGGGGTCAAGGTGGGATTGGTCCCTACAGTCTGTTCCGCAGGGTGTTGTCCAGTCTGGACTGAACAGGCTGCCAGTCCCTCCCTGAGGAGACAGTTCCGTGCCCTGAGAGATCGCTGCATCTGCCCATGTCTGCACTAGCCAGGTTACTGTGCTAGGTGCTCTGCTGTTTGTTCCCGCCTCCGTTGGTCAGCAGTCACCTGGCAGCTGCACACACAAATGCTTCAGTCCACTCCAGTGCTCTCGGCTACGTTCCAAACAGGCACTGAATTTCCAGGACAAGTCAGGCTGAATGGCTCCCGGTGCAGTCGTTCCCATGCCTGTGGGGATGGAGGTACAGGCGCCCACCTTTTAAAAACTGACCTGCTACCGGAGGGGGTGTCAAAGCTGCCCCACTTGATGAACCTCCTGTAGTCCCCTCTCTTCTCCCTTTATCTATGCCTCTCGCTTTAAACCTGCTCTCGGGCTGCACTAATGTCTCCCCATGGCCTCAACCAGCAATCCAGCTGTGGTTGTCCAGCTGCGTTCCCTCTCTGCTCTCCTCACAATGTCCCACTCAGCAGCATCCCCTGCAGGTGGCCCAAGCCACCCAGTGTCCCCCAGCCATGCTCCTTCCATTGGCATTCCCTGCAAGTGCCACACTTCTCTCCCTGGGCACAAAATGTGTGCCTCCAGTCTCCAGCGCTGAATGTCCTGAGCTGGTCAGCCAACCATGACTCGTGAGGGAGTGGTAAAGCTGGCCATTGCAGCTTGTGAGATACGGTCAGATTTCCAGCTGCAAATACTGTCGTGGGAAGTGGTGAGAATTGGAGAGAGACAGTGGGATTTGGAGGGTGGGGGACTCCCCAGATGGCTTCACCACACCCTGTTCCCCCATTGTGGCCTCTGCATAGTTTAGGGAGAGAATCCCCACCTTCCCCAGTTAGCGCTCTGCTCCAACAGAGCAGTGTCCCCTTGAGGACAGTCTGATTCCCTGGTGCAGAACTGGACCCAAGCCCCAAGCATCTCTCCCTCCAGCTCCTCTTCTGTCTCCAAAATGTATAAAGATCTTTTCCTTTTTCTGTAGGTCGAATGAAAATCAAGTCACGATGCACAAGTGTTACTTCTTTCTGGTGTTCATGGTGATCATCCTGCCCTCACTGGGGCTGACCAGGTACAACCCATGTGCACAGCCCTCCTCATTCACCTGCAGACTGGGAATTATATACATGTCCTTGGAGCTCTTCATCCTGAGGGATCAATCCCAAAGCATTTTGCAGAGACTGTGTGTGCAGGGATCACTTCACCCACCACTGAAATGCAGCCACCTCTGCAGTGGAACACAGCAGCTCTTAGCACTCAGCAATTCTACACACCTACACACACAGAACGTGAAGTGTATTGTATCCATTTGAAACGTAATAGGAAATTAGGGAAGAAGCATGGAATTGCCCATGGCCCAACTGACCAGGATGCCAAGATTAACTCCCTGACTTTTGGGCAATGTGCCATCGTGTCTTTAATAACCATGTGTATTCCAGAGGGCATCCGTGTTACATCTCCTCCGAAAGACTGCCACAGCACAGCATCCCCTGGAGCAGTAACTCTTTAAAGAGGAAAAATATTGTACAGATCAATAGCTGGTTATTTATCATTCTCTGTGGTGTTGCTCCTTGGCCAACGCCAATCGAGAGCTTTAGAGGCTGTGGAGTAGCCCAGTTTGTCTTTGAGAGAGAACTGACCATCTCCCTCTGGGGAATCTCCTGGTCTAGTGTATTGATAGTGTGTATCAATGGCTAGAGCAGCACAGCTACTCACAGGCTATCGCACTTGCACAGACTCCTGCTGAGGCCCAACTGTCCGGCCCGTTAGCCATAAAGCACTCGCTCCTCCCGCTCAGCACATTCATTGTCTGTCACCGTCCTGTCCCCAAACTCTCCCCTGGTGACCCCTCAGCCCAAGGACCCCCAGCTGCACAGCCCCCTCCTTCCTGAGTATGAGCTAGATCAAGTGACCCTGGGTATTAACCCCCCTCTTGTTCAGCTGATCTGCAAAGGAACTCCTTAGCCAGGTGTGTATGTAGCCTTGTTCTCAGGTCTAGCCAAGCTGTGAGCAATTCAGGATCCTGGGATGGGGGCAAAGGTGGTTTTAATCACCTTTGGGATGTCCTTATTCTGAAGCAGGCTGGGATCCAGTTTGGTTCCCAGCACAACTTAGAGAAGCCGTGGGCCTGATCTAACTTGCCCTCAGCTGCCTGTGGCATCAAGGGGTTGTTCTATCGGCTGGGACTGGTCAGAGCATAGCGACCCTTCAGTCATATCCCTGATGCCAACAGCTTTATGCCACCTAGGGATTCTGGCTGTGCTGGGGCAATTGCCAAACAGCTAGTGGCCCTTTGCGCAGCTGGAGATGTGCAAAGGGACCAAAGCATCAAGCCAAGAGCACTCTGCGGGAGCAGCAGCCACTCCAGTAAGATTTTGACATGGCTCCATCGTAGGTTTAACCCTTTCTGTGGAGCGTTCCAGGTCTTGTAACCAGATCCTTCAGTAACTGCCACCTTTGACAGAACAGTGTTTTCCAGCATTTGCACCATGTGGACCAGCTGTTCCTTCCCAGACCAGCCTTGATTATTATCATTATTGTTGTTATTCACACAATGTCAAAACAAAACAGGCTGGGCACATTCCACACCGAGGTCCGGCCCTGTGCCAAAGGGAAGTCCAGAGATGGGTGCGGGAAAGGTGTGCTGCAAGACTTTTTCCTGCTCTATGCATGTGCGTGCAAGAGAGCGAAAGACTCTTGCCTATTTGCCCATAATATTCTCTCTTGTCTGTATAACACATGTCTAACCAGCTTCTGTTCTCCCTTCTCTCATCCAGTTTAGATCTTTTCTTCCACTGGCTCTTTGACATTCACTTCTTGGATGAGGCAAATATCAAGTTCCAGTGAGTACTGGCAGGCCCTGAACGTGTGTGGAGCCGTGTTTGTGTGGGGATGTGTGTACACGTGTAGATTAGGGGGAGCTGCATGCACAGCTGGGTGTGTATAGGGACAGAGGAATTGCATTTTGCACTGTCGGTGTTTTTTGGTTGTAGTGTTTTGGGACAAACACTACAACCAAAAAAACACCGACAGTGCAAAATGCAATTCCTCTGTCCCTAGTTTTGGCCCGCATTAC